ATCTCAACCCCCTGCCCTGAGCCCCCTGCCGCACCCCTCCTGCATCTCAACCCCCTGCCCTGAGCCCCCTGCCGCACACCTACTGCATCTCAACCCCCTCCCCGGCCCTGCAAGCAATTTCCCCACCAAGATGTTGGCCCTCGGGCCAAAATGTTTGCCCACCCCTGAGTTAGGGGCATAGAGGTTAACAGTAAATGGGATAAAATACAACACGGTTTTACAAAAGGTAGATCTTGCAAGGCCAACCTTCTCTTTCTTTGAGAAGGTAACTGATTTTTTTAGACAATGGAAATGGAGCAAATCTCATCTGTCTGGATTTCAGGATATTTGATACAGTTCCACATGGGAAATTATGAGTCAAATTGGAGAAGATGGGGATTAATGTTGCTGTTAATCCCTACGTGCATGACCTTGCACTTTGCACTATTGAATTTCATCCCATTTCTACTACTCCAGGTTTCAAGGTCGTCCAGCTCTACTCGTATGATATTCTGGTCCTCCTCCACACTGGCAATACCTCCCAACTCTGTGTCATCTGCAGATTTCATTAGCGCACGCCCCCTTTTTGTGCCAAGGTCTTTAATGAAAACGTTAAATCAGATTTATCCCAAGCCCAATCCCTGAGGAACTCCACTAGTAACCTCTCTCCAGCCTGACAGTTCACCTTTGAGCATGACCCGTTGTAGTCTTCCATTTAACTGGGTCCTTATCCACCTTTCAATGGGGTCGGGGAGGAATTTTCCCCGAAATCAGATTGGTAGAGACCCTGAGATTTATTTGCTCTGCAGCCTGGGGCACGGGTCACTTGCAGGTTTGAACTAGTGTAAATGGTGGATTCTCTGTAACTTGAAGTCTTTCAATCAGTAACTCAGCCAGAGGTTATGGGCCTGTTACAGGAGTGGGTGGGTGAGGTTCTGTGGCCTGCAGGAGGTCAGATTATGATCATGATGGTCCTTTCTGGCTGTCAGGTCAATGAGACCTGTCTCTGCCTCAGTTCTCCACCTGTAAAACGGGGAGAGGAGATTTCCCTACTTCACAGGGGTGTCGTGCGACATTAAATAATATATTAAAGCCTGTGAGGTGCTCAGATACTGCAGTGAAAGGAGCCAGAGACGTACGGTGGATCGCAGGAAAGGTTCCGCAGACAGCACTTAGATCACAAGTCTGTTGATGATGCACAAGCTGGAAGAGAAGCTGCTCCCTGGGGCATCGCTGGGTTGGCCCTGCAGCGCTAAGGGGAGTGAAGGCTGATTTTTAGGGACAGATGCTCTGCAGGTGTCAATTGAAGTAGTTCCTCTGAAGTCAGATTGACACCATCTGAGCAGCTGGCCAGTAGTCCTGCTAGCCCAGATCCTCAGAGGCATTTGGGCTCCTGGTTTCCACTGGAATCACTGGGAGTTTGGGGCCTGAACACCTCTAAGGGTCTGGGTCTACATTTAGGAGACAGGTCCCCTGAGACATGCCAGAAGCGGAGCTGTCAGGATTGTTAATAAGCACTTGGATGGCCGCAGGGCCCAGAAGCTGCACCCAGGTCCTGCTTTTCATAGCGCTAGGGGCTGTACAAACACACAGGAAAATGAGGTCATAGAATCACAGAACCATCGGGTGAGAAGGGACCGCAGGGGCATCCAGTCTAACCCCTGCCAAGATGCAGGATATGTTGTGTCTGACCCATCCCAGACAGACGGCTCCAGCCTCCTTTTGAAAACCGCCAGTGAAGGAGCTTCAAGAACCCCCCGAGGCGTCGGTTCCATCCAGGGCTGGCTCCAGGCACCAGCTTGTCAAGCAGGCGCTTGGGGCGGCCACTCCGGAGAGGGGCGGCACGTCCAGCTATTCGGCGGCAATTCGGCAGACGGTCCCTCACTCTGGCTTGGAGCGAAGGACACCCCGCCGAATTGCCGCAGCAGATCGCGATCGCAATTCTTTTTTTTTTTTGGCTGCTTGGGGCGGCCAAAACCCTGGAGCCGGCTCTGGTTCCATCGTCCTGCTGGTCTGATAGTGAGGAAGTTTTCCCTGAGATTTCATCTCAATCTGCTCTGCTATAGTTTGTAGCTCCCTGCTCCAAAGAGCTGACACCCTACGTTAACACGGTGTAACATACACCAGGAGAGAGCCCCGAACGGGGCCTTGGCTTTGCCTGTGTCTCTCCTCGGGAGGGAAGGTTTCCAAGATTAAAATGAAAGAAGTCATAGAGAACAGGCTCGCACTCGGAGCATATTCCTTCTCTGGGCCTGGCTGGTCTCCAGCACAGTTCAGTTCAGTCGCTGACCTGCAGACATGTGATTTCTAGATCTCCGGGCACAGAGCAAGCTGCAAGCGGTTGAAGAAGCGGTGCAGAAACTCCAAGTCTCTCTGCAGCCTGACAACGCCTCGGACGCCTCAGCAAAGGGATCGGACAGTAAGTCGCAGGACGAGAGTCTTAGGCATCAGGGTCGGCTCCCCTCCCCTGGTCTGGAAGCTGAGCACTCTCCGGCCTATAGGGATGGTGGGTGCCTGGCATCCTCCTACTCCCCTCCATAGATGTCCCTGCCAGGTGGTCCCGGCCCCCGTCTAATGAGCTGCTGCTCTGCCCATTCCTCTGCCAGCGGAGACTCTGTTCCCAGGACGGGCGGCTGCTCCAGGTTCCCTCCTAGCTCCCTTCCTGGCAGTGGCAGGCTGGCTGCAGCCGCCCCATGCT